GTAAATTCCTAGCAGTGCTATTGCTGGGTCATAGGGTAGAAGACCTAATTCTTAATATAAGAAATCCTACAGGGTACATTGTCTGAGCAGGGAGGGATTCAAACAAACTTGAAGACCCAAGTATTTTTTTTTTTTTTAATCAGGAAATACCATCACTCAGCCATGCTTTTCACTTCAAGAATGGAAGGAAAAGTCAGGCGGGAAGGGCAGCTGGAATGCCTGTGACGTGGAATGCCCCACGTGAGTGGGGTCGTGCGCAAACCTTGTGTGATGTCACTGAGGCACCTAGAGAAAAACGGCCACTTGTTTCTAAGCCGCCCTAAGGAGAGGTGCGTCGGAGCCTCAGGGGCAGTGGTGGGCCCGCTCGCCCTAAGATCTCACCATCGCCATGAACAATAAGGAATGCTTCAAGTGTGGACGCTCTGGCCACTGGGCCCGGGGATGCCCTAGAGGAGGAGGAAGTCAAGGGCGTGGAGCTAGAGGCCGTGGCAGAGGTTCCCAGTGCAGTTCCACCAACCCGTCTGACATCTGTTACCGCTGTGGTGAGTCTGGTCATCATGCTAAGAATTGTGATCTTCTCGAGGACATCTGCTACAACTGTGGGAGAAGTGGCCACATCGCCAAAGATTGTACTGAGCCTAAGCGAGAGAGAGAGCAGTGTTGTTACACTTGTGGCAGACCAGGCCATCTGGCTCGTGATTGTGACCGTCAGGAAGAGCAGAAGTGCTACTCTTGTGGTGAATATGGCCACATTCAGAAAGACTGCACCCAAGTCAAATGCTACCGGTGCGGTGAGATTGGCCACATGGCCATCAACTGCAGCAAGACGAGTGAAGTCAACTGCTACCGCTGTGGCGAGTCTGGACATCTGGCCCGGGAATGCCCCATTGAGGCTACCGCTTAATTTTTTTTCCTTTGTCCCTCCCTCCTTTTGTTGATAGATAATTGTATTATTTTCTCTCAAACCATTTCACTGACCAAAAGTTGATAGATGGAGGCTACTCCCAGGCTAGGAGGAAAGGGCTGGAAAAAAAATCTCCAAATAAGTTGTTCACTTTTAGATGTCTTATACTGTAATTAATGGGTTTCTGCACCATTGGTGAATCTGATTATTGGACAGTCATTCTGGGTATCAGCCAATTTCTAGGTTCTTTGTGTTTTGCTTTAGCATTTAATTAAGGGCTACTACTGTGTGCCAGCCCCTGTTGGAGGAATTGAGGATATATCAGTGAACAAATAAGATCGAGTTTGGGAACATAGGCCTAGGATCTATTGAAAAATAATATAATGTGTCAGTGGAGATAAATTGCTGTAGAGAAAAAGAACACCAGGTAAAAGAATGGAATGTGCATGGGGAGGGGACATGTGGTTCTGTCTTAGATACACAAAGTACCCTGAGATGACATTTCCTCAGAGATTCATTGCATAAATAAAGCTAATTCTGAAAATGTGTATGACCTTGCTAAATAACTTTAACTTTATTATATATTGATTGCTTTGAATTTTCTGATCTCATTAGCTTTTAAATAACATTGAAAGACATCTTTACCTGGCCCTACAAAGAGTGTATAGTTTAGTGAAAATAAACCAGAAAAATATGTATAATGTATGTAAGTAGCTTTGACACAGAGAGCAATGACAAAAAAAACAAAAAAAAACCTTCAGAAAAAATTGTTGACATAAACCTACTTATGGGAAAGTTTAGACTTAAATATTTTTTAAAATCTAAGAAGTGTAGACATTAAGATTGGAACTTTGGCAATAAAAAAATGCTCATTTTCATAGATAAGAAAGTTATATTTATATTTAAGAGTTTATGAAAAATGTATTGTCACAGTTATAAAAATGTTCAGTTTCATATGCTGAAATCTATTTTTAAAAATCAAATCTGAAAAGCAATTGAAGTTCGATAAAATAGAAGACACTTTTAAGGGGCGCCTGGGTGGCTCAGTCGGCTAAGCATTCAACTTCATCTCAAGTCATGATCTCATGGTTCCTGAGTTCAAGCCCCATGTCA